TATTCTTGTGACCATTCAATGAAAAAATATTTGATCTTGGCACGTATATATAAATTATGCCTATTGCTATCTTTATCTATAATAAGCAATAAAAAATTAAATTTATAAAAAAACTTAACTAAAACTTATGAAATTAATATGATCAATGGGTTTCGATTCTTAGAGCAAATCATGAGTAATATTTAAAAAGTTTATAAATGAATTTTAGGTATCGCTTAAAAATCAAAAGTGAAAACAGAATTTTGAAGGAAAAATGTGGGTTTTAACTATGTAAATTAATTCATAGAACAGTCGTTAATTTTAAATTTTAAATGTATTGATATTCAAAAATAAAATTGCGTTATTATATTGCAATAACTTTTCTTCTAATTGTTGTTTACGTTATCATATCGTCTCTCGTTCATCGTGTTAAACTGGTTTTAGAATATCATTTAAAACAATTTTATGTGTTAATATTTTTATGATATTTGTTCAGATACGTTAATTTCTAGTTTTACTTGAACTTCAAATATTTATGTCGAACAATGATGACAACAACATCAGCGATCCTTACTACGGGACACATACAAATTAACCTATAACGAGAAAGTGATAATATAACAATATTTTATAGTTTAACGATTTATTATTATAACATTATTATACAATTAACTATGTTAATAGTTTATTAAAAATTTAAAAATAAAAGTTTAATAACATAGCGTCATCTTAGAATAGTATAAAAATGATTTTCAATTAGTCTACTTGGAAATTGAAAAAAAATAAGCTCGGACTATTCGGGCAGTGGTCCATTTCATATAATATAATATCTGACCGCATATGATCATTGAGCACGATCAGAACACGTTTCTTTGTCATTATTATGTAAAGGTTTCTATTTTGACATATTAATTATTATTGGTCATTGGACGTCGATAGTAGTGCGTGGTCATTGCAATTATAGTTCAGTATTAAAGAGACAATGTCAAACACCGTCACCTCTACTGCTAATCGATTTAAATACTCGAACTTTAATCACGAACATTTTAAATGATATGTATAAACTCAACCAATTATTCGTCTATTTAAATATGAATATTTTAATAAAGTTCCACACTGTTAAATTACTGAAGTTAAAATCTGATATCAACTTCCAACAATTTAAAAAAATACATCAACTAGTAATATATACATATATTCTACAACATTCAGATAAATATTTTAGTCTTAACTTCCTATTCAAAGTCAGGTTGGAAATATAATAAAAGATATTTTATTTATTAATATTTAACTATTAACATTAATTTAATGATTAAATATTAACAAAAAATAATATATCATGCATAGTATATACTGTACGGAATATACTTGTGCTTTAATGATAATATAAACCAACATATTTAATGCAAAATCAAATGAGTTTATGGTATAGTTACTTATACTATAAATCAAGTTCTCCAATGACGAATTGATAAATATTTAAATATCAAAACCACGTTGGGTTATGAAATTATATTAAATTGCAAAAGTTGCAGATTAAAAGTATTATCAAAACACTTGGGTCATAAAAATGTGTATTTATTTTTATAATATATAATGCCGAATCATAAATTTAAAAAGTGTTTCGAATTTAATATTATTTTTATGAGAAGGACCACTAATTTTTTTTTTATTTGTGTATTAATCATTAGGTACTTACTGGAATTATTCAAGTGTACCTACAGGTTAAGTGTAGTGCGTAATGATAAGTCTTCGACCCAACAACTTACATAGTGCAGTATTAACATTATAAACGACAAAGGTAGCACGGTTTCCATTCAAAATGTAATATTTAATAATTATAGTTTATAATAGGTTTTAAAATGTAATTAATTACATGCCCTACACAAAATTAATACATAGAGTTAAGTTGAAAATACTTCCAGAATTAAAGTCAATGTACTACATATAGCCATATCGGTAAATTAAAAAGTTCAATAGTTTAACACAACCTTCAAATATTCAAGATTTATTGTTCAAGTTTTAAACTAATAAAACTTAATAGTAATACTTTTACAATATCTGTAGTATTATTGCCAGTTTACAATTTGTTATTAAAGATATACTATAATGATACTAATTAGTAATTATTATCGTTGACACTTGATTATGTAAGGCAGTTTAAAATTGATTATGCTTGATGCATTCAATTTGACGTACAAACATTTAGAAAAGAAAATAAACTACCTAATGTAGGACACGCAAATTTTGATCATATTTGACATACCAATTTTAATAACCTTTTAAAAAGTGCAAATATCGAACTCAATGTCAAATCAATAAAGTAATATAAGATATAAAAAACTACATGTTTATAATTTCTTTTGCTGATTTTATTTAATTCTCAATTTATTTCTTATCCAAGTCGGTTTAATATTTTTTAAGCTCGGTTTGAATTAGTTTATACAATGTTTAATTGTTTGAAAACTTAAAAACAGTCAATTTATTTGGATGTACTCGTACGTATTAAGATTATACATTTATCTAATTTAACTATCATTTCAACAGAAGTTTTCAAATATTGCAGCTGACAAGGTTGTTAATTGCTAACTTTTTGATAATTATTTGTATAACTATATGTGTTGATAAATAAACAATAACAAGCTGTTACAGTTTAAATGGTAAAATTTGTCAATTTTCAAGTAATAATTAAAACATAACATTATTATTATTTAAATAAATTCGAAGTATCCTCATCCCAGCTTCTGGACTTAAATTCTCCGAAAAGTGAACTCAATTAACAAAATAAAGAATAATACAATTATTGATTTTTTAGAATTCAAATAAACGTTTTTTTTATAACACAAAACACTTTTGTATCAATATTCCTCGATAGTTATCATAATGGTTTTATGACAATTCCAAGTTTTAGACATATTTTTATCGGTGAGTACCGATAATTCCTGATGCAATATTAATACATTTTCAATTATGCGAATATCATCGTTCAATGTATAAATATAATGCGTGTATTATGTACCTAACAATATTAAGCTACTATATTTGTTCAAATTAATAAATGGGCTGTAATGGGCTTGTAATTTGTTGGTGAATGCCGTACGGTAGACATATTATTGTAGCTATAGTACCTACCGCAATTCGCTAATAGGTACATTGACTCAAATTTGCAACGACTGTGATAACAAAACGACTATACATATTTTACTACTATTTATTTTAATAGTATCTAATTCAAAAAATCGGATAAGAAAATTTAATAAATACCCATTTTTTTAAATATGATATAATGTTCGATGATTTTGAGGATTTGATCGTAATATAACATGAAATTCACAACACTATTAATAATATTCAGAGCCCTACATTTGTATTTGTTAAAAATTTGATTAGTTAATATATAGGTACTAACAAATTTTTAAATATTTAAAATTGTAAATGTGTAATACATACCCCAAGGTATATATTATGTAAACGTTTCAACGAAATTCAAAATGTTATGACTTAATCAACATTTAACTGTATTCAAATTATATTTTCAACCCTATAGACTATAACTAATAAATCCTATAAACAGTATAAACTAATTTGTGCACAAGTCCAATCTTATTATATCTTTTGTGAATTAAAATATTTTTTTATGTAACATTAAACCTACCTACTCATTATGTATAGTACATAAATCAAAGAGTTAATAATACTACAAATTATACAAAAACACAGTAACAGCATAAAATTTTGACGATTATTGAAAGTTGTAATCATCATTACACAGAATATGGGAAATAAAAGCAAGGTTTGATAGAATATTCATGCCTATGTTGTATGTTAAATAAATAATGTGACCCCAGATGACAGGTTTAGTAGGTATCTATAGCTTTGTAACTAATCATCATAATTATTATAAATTATTATCTCTAACTAGTGGGCTTTTTCATCAAGATATATGTACTTTTTATTAAAGCCATAGTCTCTGATGTCCTCAAAAGCTGTATAATGTATATTATTAAGCGTTTTAAACTAAATTATAAAAATTGATAAAATAGTAGGGATGCCATCTTGCATTTTACTTATGTGTACTATATATCTCTATATGATGATAAATTTGTTTAAAAATATTCAATTATTTTGTTCACCTATCATAAATATACAAAAAGAACATCTTGTACCTGTTAACTTCTCCAATTTTTTTTTGTTTCATACAAATTTTTAATTATTTTAATTCTAAATAATATCTTTAAAATTTAATTAAATAATTCTTTGAATTAACCCATGAATTCATATCACACCAATTTTAAAATGTCATTAATTCTTTAGTAAGCATGATTTTTCCTTTTAACTTTATAATTTTAATTTTAAATTCAAATGATGTTAAATGTTCCTATTTATGTATTCTATTAATTAAAACTTCAAGGGAGATTTAAGCACCTTTTACATTAATACGCAAAAATAAGAATACATTATGTTCTTATAATACTGTATTGACATTTTGTAATAATTTGATGAATTAAAACAAAGTTTCGTTGTTATTATGAAAACATATTTAAATTTTGAATAGTTTTCTCCGAGAAATAATTGTAAGCCTATACTTAACTATTCGTATCAAACAATATACATTTTCAAACTAATTACAATACTATACGTTTAGTTAACTATATAAAAACCATTCGTCCATTCATATAAACATTTTTGTATATTAAACTGATTTTTAGATTTTTAATATTTTCAAATAATTACTTATATAAAATTAATTTACTAATGATAATCTATTTTTAACCCTCAAGCCGTTATTGTATCATAGTAGACTAGGTAATGTCACCTATTTACACGGTCTAGTTGTTAGAACATTTGAATGATATTTCAAATTGTATGGTTTTGTTTAAATAAAACCTTTTATATTAAAAATTATAGTATCATGATTTCATGAGTTTTACGTTTATTCGTGAATATTGTGAAACAAATAAAATGTATTACCTATTCAATGTTATTTGTTAGTTATAAGACATTCTACATTTATTTTTCAGAACTTCCGTATTGTTTGTAAGCATATCGTTCATAGTGCTTATGGTTATATCTTTGGCATGGCTTGTATTCTACTACATACAAAGGTTCCGGTATATACACGCTAAAGACCAACTGTCGGTAAGTTACATCACGAAAACAAAATATACATACATAATATTTGAATGTTTTATAACTCTCACTTAAAAAATTAACTATTTAAGTACAATCGGCTTACTGAAACAGGAATGTTACATATTTTGGCTTTTGGCATTTCGAATAAATGATAAATCATCGAATTTGAACTATTCTGAACAGATTAAATACACTTGCTTGGACATTTTTTGATTTCTTTTACACTTTGTTCCTTTTTCTTACTTTTGAGAAACAGATGAATGAATAGTAACAACTAGATTCTAGGTAGTTCAATAAATATTTAAGGACTTGTTAACTAATATTTGAGGTTATTTGACTTGAAAGTTGAAACTTTTGACGACTGTTTTTGCCCTGCAATTATTGTCCATGGAAAAATTAAAAAATTAAAAAGAATGAAAACCCATCATTGAGAAACTAGCAAATATATTCTTCACTTCATTTAGAATGTAAAAAGTCGAATTTTAATATTATTCAAAGAGCAATAACGATCAGTGTTATTCGTTTAGGAGAAAATTATTTTCAAACCGAAACAAACATTGTGCAATATGACGTGTACTGGTAGGCGCAGGTATAAACGTATGCGTATATAATATTATAATGATGTGTCATGTGAGTATTATTGTTTGAGAATAAAAAAATGTCGAGTATCTACGAAGACGAAACAAACCTATATGTACCGAGAAATGAGGAAGTGAAAGTGGAAGTACATTATACCCGATTGACCAATGTATATATATTTTATATTATGAATGCGTTCTACAGACTATACAGAAAATACGAGTGAGAATACAGATTCACCGTAAGAACAACTATGGGTACAACATTTTAAAGTTGATACCATTTTATTGTTGATTGAATCACAACAAAAATCATTATTTGTTCAATAAATATTCGACCTGTACTATTTGTTATCGTCTACTTTCAATGTATGTTAGCTAAAATGATAAACTAAAACCAAAAAATCAACTTATATCAATAGTATTCATTAAAATGTTTAATAAGTTCTACAAGCGTTTAGCTGAGCTATACGATCTAGTGTAACATCTGCTAATAAGTAATGTTTGTGTTTTAATTTCTAGAGACGATTATGTAACGCGGCCAAAAAAGCGTTGTCCAAGATACCTACCAAGCACATCAAAATGGATGACAAGGTAAAATTACGTAAAATTACGTTAACTATTTACGCATATGGTCGGCTAAGATCATATTAGCTAATATATTTATTTAACCATTAGATTTCTGGAACGAATTATGTAAATTATTTCAATATTTTGCCAATAAAACTAATATTTATGTATACTTAGACAATAGGCCTCTTGGAAAATGTACCTATATGTCTATATAACAATATATTGTGTAGGTTTACCATTTATGTATTTGCACACTATAGGAAAATACACAGGTGGAAACAATTGATGGCATAAAATGGAGTATTACAATGTAAATCTAAGCAAATTATACGAAATCAAAAACCAGAGAAGAAGAAAACAAATAGCGGTTAAATATTAATATTTCGAATATTGAGTTATCAATGTACACAACGGCTATTACTAATATTACTATATTAGTATACCTATTATCAATTATCAAATCCCTAGTATAAAAACTTTAAAAATCCAATAAATTTGGTTTAATTAACAAATAACAATATTACATTTTTAAGTATTTGTTGAAAATATTAATTTTTATATCGCGTCATAACTTATAATGTTTTAAACCTATTTGTCTAAATTTGATTTACAACATAGTTATATCAATACATATATGACATAATATATGCAATAGTAAGTATGCAATAGTAACCATACTATAAATATAATATATAGATATGAAGTTGCGAAAATCCATTTAAAGCGCACCATAAAAGTATACCTGTATGGCTGTATAATATGGTTAAACCTCAGCATATATTATGATATATTTATCATATTTATAAATTAAAATTTATTATTGCATATTATATTTTTATCATATTTTGTTTATTTATGGTAAGGCGTTAAATTAAATTGTTATGTTACTCTTTAATGGTTGTGTTGAACGATAGTTAAATAATAGATCCATAAACCCCTGAATCGATAAAACATTTTAAGACTCATAAAAGATAGTTTCGAGAAATTTATTTTGAAATGAAGTGAAACATAGTGTAATCTTTTATGGACTATTTTTTGTACGATAATTTTAAAATTTGCATTCAATTAATCAAAGCTTAAACCGCTATTAAAATATGAAATGTGTAACTAAAAACAGGGTTTGCATCCATCTTAAATTGTATTGTTTAATTATTCATCGGCTTACAGGAGATCGTTGGTGACGGGGACTGTTGTGCAGTGTGCATTGAACCATACAAACCGTCCGAGGTGGTTCGGATACTGCCATGCCGACATGAATTCCACAAAAGCTGTGTAGATCCTTGGCTGTTAGAGCACCGAACTTGCCCAATGTGCAAAATGGACATACTCAAGCATTACGGTTTTTTGGTAAGTAACTATATAAATTCAAAATTACGGCACATATTTAAAAATTAAAGTCCTAACAGTACATATTATAGTAATAAAAAATATATTATTACACATAGATTACCTATATAAACGTGTTAATATAGTGATGTGCGTTTGTTACGCTTTACTACTATCTGCATAAATCACATAGCGTTAAGTATAAATACTATATAGTATCAGTAATAAATAGTAATAAGTATATTTAAATGAAAATGATATATTATCGTCTAAAAAAGTTAAATTAAAATACTACTAAGTTTATATAGCATCTAATATCTATATACATTCTACTTTCTAACTATTTGACTACAACGCGTGTATTTGAATTTCGAGTCCACTCTCACGCGACCGATTCCACAAATAATATAGGTACCTATTGACATTTCAGTGATCAATATGCGTTAAAAGATTTTTCTCGCCATGTGCAACAATTTTTTTACATACATGAAATGTACGTAATACGGTCAAAGATAATTTTTCCTTGCACGTGCAACCAAGAATAATGTATTACATATGTTATGGTTCGTTTATTATATGATCATTAATCATTAATCACTCGTATAAAATACATAATATATACAACATATACATGTATAGTATACTTCTTTTTTAATATATAGTCGTATAGAGTTCTGATATATAAAATTATATACCTGCAATATGATATGTTGGGCACCGAACTGAGTCCTTAACAATTACGATTATATTTTTTGAAATCGTGTGCGATTTCGTGTCGGATGCCACCAAATACCCACAGAAACTTTCGAAATAAAAATACGTCAAAAATGAGAATAATGTAAAAAAAAATTCACGGTTTGACACAAATACCGTACTATCGGGCTTATATTGTTTTTATAGCCATACGCTATATTACAAATATAATACATAGATTATAGGTAATATGAATAATACTATATAATGTATATATAGGTAGGTACCAGGTATATGTACAATATATTTATATATATGATTATAAACATAAAATCTATATATATTTACGATTTTCTAGTACACTATGTAAAATCAATAATCACCCTTGACGATTTCAATATCGATCAAACCTATACTATAGTCTGCGTGTCATACTCTGCATAGTCTATATGTATGATCACTTCTATATTATAATAATATAGGTACAAATTATTATACTAGAAATTTACAGGAACGAATAATGTATTTTCCTTTTTAGGGTAAGACAATGTGATCAAATATTAACGGTAACCACAAATTTAATAGGTTAGAAATGTACAATTATATTAAAACAAGTTTCAAGTCAGTGTTATTAAATAAACTGTTACAACACGCCGCCATCACCGTCATTTGTCTTGGGTGTATGTCGTACGAATGCGATGATGATGACTGATGAGGATGGGTGTACCTTTATGATTCCCCCGCATGTTTTCATATACATATATTGCAGACATACATTTTTAAATAAAATCATGTTGCATGAAATTACCCAATATTCTAAAAGATGAGTTCATTATTGTTTTTATAACATAAGGTACAAAATATAACTTATTTTAAATACATTTACGTAGTCATTATTGTAATTATACACGTTATTCCCGTGTTTTGATACTTGAATAACACTAACATTCAATAACAATCGCACATCATACCTAATATTATTAATTATTATAAAAGATAAAAATATATAATCTAATACAATTTTTTTGATAAGATTAAAATATAATATATGATTATTCTTATCGTACATATTAATTGAGGATGTTGACTATAAGTATAATGACCTATAAGATAACTTTGAGATATTCCCTAAAACTAATGCAATAATAACAAGTTAATAAATGCATAAAAAATATATCAAAATAATGAACGTCAATTTATTGTAGATGAAATAAAGTGAAAAACTAAGCTCAATACGATGTGATTATGTTATGTGCTTAATATTTAAAGTAAGCTATTTCACTAAATATGTTTAAATCTCCTGAACAAACTTCGCAATTTCTTCATGATGCTTAATATGCTCAAATGCTTAATATAATATTTAAAATCATAGAAGTATATTATTAAACATGATTGTAATTTTAAAGTTTTTAGACAATATTTTATGGATAACGATAACGAATTAAACTAAATGTATTATTAATATTTATTAGATAGGTGCCTGTGACCTGTATAATTTTTTTAACGTACTTAAAACTTACTAGTACTCATAAAAAAATGATGGGTTATGATTTTAACAATGTATTACTGAATATAATACCAAAAACATAGTAATGAATATGATATTATGATTATATTAGTAACCTTGTATCTATATTAACTATTTTCTTATCGAGCCTTTATATGCTAAACTAAAAACTATAAAATTATAAAAATTATAAATTTTCTTATTTAAAAATTAAAAACCTAAAAATTATAGTCATACAGTTTTAATAAATTGCACCGTAATTCAAAGATTAAAACGGTCATAAAAATAAAAGCCTTGATGTCTTGAAATACAGGATAAATTTTGAATTATTATTATATATATTCTTTTATTTAAAAGCAAGGTTTATCGTAATTTAACTTTAAAAAAAAAACTCCGTACTTACTGAAATGTCTTCAATATTTTTCGAAAATGATACCTATGATTTGTACATTTAAAATACGAAACAAAATATTGAAAATTATTTAATGCTTTATTTTTACTGGCCGTAATTGCATATTTGAAATAAAAGATACACTCTAATTAAAACACCTATGCATAAAAAATAATATCTACAAAAATTCAAAATAATTGTTGAACTCATTACAACATGCTTTTTTTAGAGGAAATTGGAAAAAAGTTTTAAAAAAAGTGTTATTTGCAATGGCGATCACCACTTACTATACCTTGATAAAGTTAGGTAAAACATCGGCTACTGATCTTCAATAAGGATGTAAAAACAAAAATCATGTCAAAAATGATAAATTACATAAATCAAAATACTCATTTCACAATTTTATCAAAGCTATTTCATAAATATCCTGATTCTATAATATTCAACGCCAAAAATTTAATTAAAATTAATAAATAACAAAAAATAAAAAATAAATACGAACATTGAACATAATATGTCACAATATAGTCCATTATATTATTTACTGTATAATATACTTATATTCTATATTTCTATATGATATTAATCGAATGAGGTGTTACGCATTTACGCATGTAGAGATCGAATGAAAACATTTCGAAACCGTTAAAGTGAAGGTTGATTTTGTTGTGTTGACGATTCCTTTCGTCGGCACAAATAACATCATATTCGGATAATCTTCTGCGAACCTTGGCATTCGTATAATAATATACATTGTACGTGTTCCTATACGTATTATATGTGATACCTATTGGGAATGAAACACCAGAGCAATTTCGGTCCATCTTATAGAAAACGATGGTAAATACATGATGACAAATGGCTTTCATGTAATTGTAAACCAATAATCATAACCTAGAATAAAAATTTAAATTGACGATCGTGATCGTGTTTTATGCATTTAACGCCACTACATATTCTTCCTACCTATAAGTAGGTACACAAAAACATATATTATATATTTATATAATATATTCTTAATTAGTAGTGACGTCGATCAACGATAAAATTTGTGCGAGTAGAAATTCATAAATGCGTTTATTATACCTAATAATATATATTAAATTTAGGACATGTATATTATTATAAACGCGCAGTGCGTGAAAGTTATCAGTGTAAAATCACGATAATTCACTTCAACGGTTTTGTACGAAAATTATCCTAGTATTATCACTATAATAGCCTGGTTTCTTTTTTTTTATAAAGTGAGGTGAGTACATTATTTTATAATTATTGATTGCGTATAATTTAACTCTGCAACCCATACAAATATTGAAATATATACAATATACACCCATACCTATAATATTTGAAACAGATATAGAAAAACATATCTGTGCATAATTCGAATAGCTTTCATGAAAGTTTTTTTCAATTAATTGAGGACAAAAAAATTTATATTATATTCAATATAATATTTTGCATAATATTCAGTCTCACAAAAACATTATTTTTTTTATTTATTATTAACTTTTTTAATTGCTTAATTTAAATTTTTTTCTTGGAACTTTTTGAGATTTAGACAATTATCTATAATTTATTATTCGACAACAGATATTATGATATTTTGGAGAAGTATTTTTTTTTTGTTTCCGCTAAAATGTGCTGAATAAAAATAAGAATATTAAATCAAGCCAAATCCGTTTATTTGGTCATAATAATTATTAATCTAACAATTTCTTATTAATTAAAAACATTTAAGTTGATGTTATATACAGACTTTTTCTTTCATTATGCTTGTTTAAAAAAATTATGTATTGTTATACGATATTTTTCATTTTGAAAGTTAACTTTTTTCTTCAGTATTTCTGGGACATAATATACATACACATTTATCATGTAGGCCTTCTATTATAGCACTTTATAATAATATTATGTATCCATACTGAACAAACAGTATTTAGTATAATTTATCAATTTTAAAGCTATACAATTATATTTTAAATCTATTAAAATAATTGCTTGTAAAAATAGTTAAAGGATTTTATTTATTTTGTAGGTTTTAGGTATTAAATACTATGATCTGCAATTAGTGTACCTACTGTACCTATAGTGCAGTGAGTGTATTATATTATGCTCATAATAATATATAATATACAGACACAGGGTAGGCTTACAACATTTTTATATTTTAAACTATTTTAACTGAAATTATTTATTACCTAAATTGTGGCCAAAAAATAGTAAATAATAATATTGTAACCTATGTAATTATTGGAATATGTTGGTAATGTTTTTTGTTGATGACCAATTAGGTTAATTAAATAAAGTGAATTCATAAAAATTATACAATTCCTTCGGGCCATTAGGAAATTTTATCTTTGGTTAGTTACTCATGATTGGTTAGCACGTCATACGACTATAGTAGGCATTAATGCGTTGTATACTCATACCTATACGGGTATAAATTATTATTTCTTATAAACAATGATCAACTTATTATGACTCCGTTATTGTTACAAATTAGCTATTATTTATTGTGCCATACAATAACATTTCTATGCAGTCATAGAATTTTTTAAAACAGAATAAAACATTATTTAATCAGTTAATTCAAAAAAATATTTTATTTCAAATTACAAATAATTCGTATAGACTAGATCAATACTTAGATGAGTGAAGTAGCTCTTGATTTATTTTTGTGTGACTACCTATACATTTTTTCATCATATTAGTCTGTGTGTACTTTATAATACTTAATTATTAACTATATTGAATATTATCAATTATCAAAATTATTGATTAGGCACCCGCACTTGACACGATTTACACAAAAAAATAAAAATGGAAGACCTATTATTATAGACGATAAGCCATGTAACAAAACTCAAAATCCAATCAGAATGTAATCACGTGGGTATCATCAAACGTATAATCTGTTTGATTCTAACGATATAAGTGGTAAAACAAAAAATGATTTCTTCCATTATTTTATCCAATACCATCTAAGTGCATTGAACAAGTGTTTATTGTGACTGTATAACATACATCGTTCTTCAGTTGCCATTTGCTAATATTGGATATATATGACTGCACTATGAAAATACTTATTAGAAAAAGCGTTGAAGTTGATATCTTTTCTGTGAAACAATAGGTATATTATTTATATTTGACTTGAATAGTATATAGTTATAAAAAATATTTTCATTACTATCAAAAATAAAGTTGAACATTGTTAAAATAGGTACGTATCCAACAATTTTTTGTCGCATTTTTATAAACATAATATTAATATTTAAATATTTATTATAAATTATATTTAAAAAAAACAAATTTAAATTGAGTAAAAACTGCAAGTTAACTATGTAATTTTATTCAAAATGAATTAAAAGGAATTATCATTTTGAAATATTTATCACCAATTTCTCGTTTTATTTTATAAATTAAAATGTAAGCCTTGTAAGTTGAAGTCTATCGATTATTTATTTTTTTTTTGATTATTGTGTGTAAAAAAACTTAAATACAAACAGTTTATTGTTATCAATTTATTGTAACTGCTGTAAGGAGTTTTTTTTAATATGATCAGTGGAAGGATGTCTGACGCAATAATTTAGGAAGTATTAATGTAACTCGAAACTTTGAAAACTGGTTGTAATTTGGTAATATATGTGTTGTTTTGGAGTTTGAACCGAGAAGCGACGTGCGTAACCGAGAAGGTTGGGATAAAAATGCGTTCATCATAATAAAATAGAATGTTTAATCATATCATATACATTATACATAGCATTATATAGCTATTAGTATTACATTATTATGTTAATCGTTATAACTTATGAGTAACCTGTATGGCTGTATACATATGTATATATATTTATATATATACAATATTATACATTATACATACACCTGCACCTATTTCACTGCACATGAATCTGCGCACGTTCATGTTGATTTAAATAATATAGGTGTTTATACTTTATAAAAAAAATTTTAAACAATATCGAACGGTCAACGGCCTATATAATAATATATCTGTAGTTATAATGGGCAGTTAAAATAAGTAACTATGGCCATACCTACTAATAAATTAGATTTAATATTTTCTAGTCAATGTTCTATCGTATGTTGTATAACACATTATTTTTTTATAATAACATATACATTATACGTGGTATATTATTATTATTATTTATTATCATTATTCCTAGATGTTCCTATATCTTATGCTTTGAACAAACACTTAAATAACGATCAATGGAAAATCTTATTAACAGTGCGTGTGTATGTGTGTGTGTACGTTTAGTTCACAGGCAGTCAAGAGAGTTTCCTGCACGTGGAAGTCGAAGAGGTGACCAATGATTTCGACGTGTACCAGTACGCACGTGGTCGGAGTTTCATGGACACAGCGCAAAACTCGAGAACGGTAAATATACGAGATAGACGGCGTCACGTTAAAATAATCTAATACCTAACTAGTATTTTAAGACTAAAACCAAAAAATTGAAAGCAAAAAATGTATTGAAAGAACCAGCAATTTGACCCTCCCCTAACAAAGAATAAAAATAATTGAAATCTGAGGCCGAAATGAAGTATGAGTGTTTGTGCGTGTGTGTGTGCGCAGATACCGGACGTTGCCGCGGTGGCAGTGGCGGCATCGGTCGTGTGCGAGTCGCCCGACACTAGGTCGTCGACGCCCGACGAACTGACGCCCGCGCTGACCCAACACGACTTCGGCGGCGGCGGCGGCGGCAGTGGCGACGGCCGTATTACAGACGCCGCCACCAACTGCACAACGGTCGCCGCCGGCACCAACCGATCGACGTCATTCGGTGAGTACGCAGCTGAACGTGCGCTTTTGTACCTTTATCGCAGCGATGCTCTCCCATCGATTTTTTAAATGTTTACTCGGTAGCCGTCGAGTGTCCGGCCAGGGATATTTTATGCTTTACTGTTGGCTTATATTAGGAGGGGGCGACCGGGCGTGTCCTGTGTCCGTGATCACAAGTAAACAATTAAAATGTCAATAGTTTGACAAAGTTCTCTAGTTATAGAAGCCAACTGATTCGTTTTATAATTTCCAGCAGCTATATTTAACTCAAAATCATTAAGTATCTGGTATATCAGTTCACGCAGACGAGATTCGAATTTACCATCATTTCAGTCAGAACCCCCGACAGCGGGACCTCTCTAGTTTACGCTGCAGTAGGTGTATCCATTATTTTTCAACAACATCTTGTGATGATTTTACTGCGCATATGTGATAGTATACCCTGTGGGAACACCACTGCGGCTTTATGGATTTTTAATGTCATACTATATGAATATTGCGTTCGCATATGTATAATATATGTATTGTATAACACAGGGTATCTCTACTTCAGTCTTTATTTTATTTTCCCATATGGTCATACATAACAGGCACAGAAGACAGAACCAATCGTCTTTTATAGACATCAGGGGAGGGGAGGTACGTCCTAAGTCTTGGATTAAGTATATATTTTTCGTCTCTCACGGTCCTTTGGGGGTTGGGTATCGCGTGGAAGCCTGTGCGAACACATGCAGTTTATTTTACAATAAATCATCAAACGAGTTTTGAGGTGCAGTCATATATATACATGTATACATATATTATGATATTTTGATATTTTATATGTTAATATATTATATTATTAGACATAATTATTTTTATTGTGTGTTACGTCTTATGTAGTTCTATATAATATGCTTAAGTACCTATCTGCATTGCACAACAAACCAACAAACTCGGGTTGCACGTGGTGTTGTCTTTACCAGCTGTCCTGTAATAGTGTGTTCAATAAGCTCATTGTGTGTAGCAGTGGCGGCAACACAAATAAATTGTATTATTAGAGGCTCTGTGCTGCTCATAACGACATCAAGTATAAATGTATAATATATGATGCTTTGTATTCAAAAGAAGGGTATGGTACTGTACTACTGTGGTACTGTGGTACTGTGGTAGGTATAGGAATTCGATAACAATTTCTCACGGTGTCATATCCCTGAGCTATAGAGCTTTAATTTTGGGAGGAAGACTATAATTGTGTAGGTCATATAATATTATCATACATAGAATGACCTTCTAAATCCAATGTAGCATTTTCAAACAACAATTAAAACTTAGATTTTCTAGGCTAATATTTCAATGACGCATAATTGCATAAAATAATAAAATCTTTTAAACCATGAGTACAAAATAATTTTAAGTTTAGGGTGAAAAGATATTAGGCTTTTAAAACCGAGATTTATTTTCGGTTAGTGGGACCTCAGAAGATTGTATCCCATTTTAATAAATATGGCTTTGAGTCGCAGTGCTATTTAGGGTTTTTTCCGCCACTGATACACGCAGTATTTACCTATACCTGATATTATGCGAAATCGTTTCAACGGCAACTCAATTTCACATGTTTTCTTAGCATTGTATACCTATTGGCTATTAATTATTGTTATGTATACTTTTTACGTCGTGGACTGCAGAAAACGATTATATTTATCGCAAATTCTAAAAAGTATAGTAGAATATTCAAAAATGTTATTTAAAATCTCTCTGTTTATGTATATACCTATTTAACCATACATGAAAATACAGTAATATAATACCTACCCATAATGCCTGCATTTGCACGTTTCTCGGGACCCAGCATGTATATGTATATAATGAATACTGATGGTGTAAACATTTTAGTAATCTTGTCGTTTTTTTTCCCACCAGAAGAGCAGCTTCCGGTCCACTCTGTTAGCGTACCTACAACAGCTAAATAGTTTGACAACGGCCGACGCACTCACAATCACGACTGTATTTTATTGAATAACTATATTTGTTATTTTTATAACATACACCTGTTCCGCAAGACCGTTTCCGGATAGCGTGTGTTTGTGTGCGTGTGTGCGCGGTATATACCACAGGAATCCAAAACAATAATCGGTAAAAAATATTAGCACGTCGTACATTTTACTGTGTATAATATTATCTTGGCGTTTGTTGTGATTTTGGTTGTCATTTGTTTTTGGCATTTTTGTACGGGTGTTTGTTAGCTTGTCGGGTGCAGATTGCCGTTGAATTGGTATGCTCTACGGAGATGCCCGACTTGAGAGGGGCGCAACAGTAAGATATGACGTAATAACTTTCTGTAATAACTCATAAGCACTTTATGAAAACGGTGGGTAATTCCATAACTGTGATTACACGGCCAAAATCAAGGTATCGACACCTATCCGTCACATAACTAATATAATGAAAATTATCGAGGACAATTTCATCCTTGTTTTGTCGGAGGTTTTTTCATAATTTATAGATTGGTCAACATGAATAAGTAGACCGTTCATTAAAAATCTCATTAAAATATTTAGAATATCATACAAAAAAAAAATGTCTGTCATAAATAAAATTGTACTCAATCATTTTACCATGGATTATGATGACATGTTGACGCCTTAATTTCAACCGTGCAAGTAAATAGTAATCATGATCATGATGGCTTATAAAATATATGTACCTACTAACTTAACACATGAAAGACGAAGTATGACGATTGATTATTATTGCGCCCTTTTTAAGCTCATTATCAATAACACAGAGTGGTAATTGTAGTACAGTGCATTGTAGTAGGATATTGTGAAATTTTTAAGAAAAAAATGTATCATATTGCTTGAATTTTAAATACAACATTATTCACGTTAGTCTAACAGCAATTTGAAAATATCGATTATATACGTATTAGGTAAATTCTTAGTTCAAATTTTAACAGGATCGCGAACATTTTAAAATTTGAGTTTTTATTTGAATTAAAATTAAAAGCTTAACAAACATTTTTTACGAGTGTTTGAAGTTCAAATTTTGACGACATTGGATATTCACGATTTTAACTTACCTACATGAAACCTTAAACCTTATATTATATCTTCAAACGATTTCCGTTAAACATTCCACTACCTCTTACAGTTATTATTTTTATACACTTTTAAGAATATTTAAACTAATGTTAAGCTGTTTACAGGAATTTGAAACGTTCGAATTTGTTTAGTTTTTTTATCTTTAAAAGTTGATAAAGATTTTATTCCCAGTCAAAATACTGGAAAATGTAATACAAGGCTCTCTTGGAATTCTAAAAATATCAAAAATACATAAGAACATTCATTTTTTTTTTTATAGATTTTGAAATTTTGATTTCGACGAAATTGAATGGGTACCTATCTATATTTTAACGAGAAATTACAATCTCAGTCATCATGCACAACAAATACATTAATATCGTATAGACCATGGAGACGTTTCACTCTTACGTATATTATTTAGTTTCCAAACACAGCGAAATGTTCAAAATGATAGATGGACATATTTTGCACCTAGAGCCTTGTATTCACACCGTTCTACGCGGTTTTTTAGTACGTTACTACGACTGATGTACTGTGTAATACACGGTCTACACGATGGCAAAGTATTTTATGTATTTTACCAACGCATATAATAGGGGCCTCGGAAGACATTGACTCCGGGCCGGAACCCCCATAATTATAATTTATAATATAACGCGGGTGTCTGTTTAACCGCAGCTCGCTAACATGGCGTTGTATTGGTACTTCGAAGTACAGCAATTATTATTATATAGGTGCGTTACCGCTAACAAGGTCGTGACCGCGGTCGACGGAAACGCGGTTCGCGGTCCTCGCAAAACTCCCGGCAACTGAACTTCCTACTTCCGATTTCCTATCGGCTTATACTACTGCACGGATCCCGTCTAGACGTACTGTAGTCGAGCGTCGTGGGCGCTCTTAACTGGCCCGATTTGAATGAAAAAAAAATAAAAATTAATAAATAAATACCAAGTGGCATGTAACCCTTTTTCGACCACAACTGTTGTCGGAAAAATTACGTACAAATAGAGGGTCTTAACTCATAATCGCTCGAGTATAATATTGTCAGTGTATTTGTTTATTTATGTTGAGCACTCGTAGGTGAGCTTACGCAAATATACCTACCTAATACGTATAACATACGATTGTACCTATATAGGTACTTCCTATAAGTGCGTTTTACTACATGTCAAATGTAAGTATGTAGGTAGTATTTATTTTATCATGTTTCATGAAGTGTGGTGAATATTATTTTTATCGTCGTTTTCGTGTCTATAACAAGACACAGATTTGTACCTACATTGTTTTCCTTTTCTCTTAAAATAGAGTTGTAACTCCGACCATTCCATAAGTCATCACAACAGATGAAACACGAAAACGTGTTTTTTTTTTAACAATGCTATCGTTTGTATCATTGTACGGCAATAATCAAACGTACCTATTATAGTTCTGACATTGTACCTACAACTCTTTAAAACTTATCAAAACCTCTCATAATCTTTGTTTTTATGTTAAAAAACCATTAGATATAGATACGTCCATGTTTAGGTATGGTTTCCTGTTTTCGTTTTACTGTAGCTCTATACATTTATCACTAGTCCTGTTGGACCTACTCTCGTACAATGATTGAACAGCGGAAGGGTATCTAATGGTAAAATTATAACCACCGAATTGATCATTTTTAATGTGATGACAAATTAAGTAAATCTATGCTAGGAAGGTATTCAAAAATTCCGTTGGTTGCTGCTACCATAAGAAGTTCGGCCGCTGTTAGTTCAATAAACAGATATTTTTACACCTATATATATATGTACACACCTGCTATGACAAGAGAGCCTACACATATAAGCTCGTAGGTATATGACTACAATATGAATTACATAATATGAATAAGGAAAAATTAAAAATTTTTTTTTCTTTTTACGTTTTGATTTTTTCTTCTCAAATAATAATATTACGCGCTTCTCTCTTTATTTGTAATCATTAATTAACTTCATAGGTAATATACTTGCATTAATATTTAAACGACTATAGGTAGGTTGGTAATTGTATTTTAAAATTATTTTGAATGAATAATTCTTATAGTATTTTAATCGATAATACAACAAGGTTTTTTTCGATAGGCAGATACGTGGACGTGCATTTTAATTTATTATTAATTTTTTTTATGTTAATGTTGTATTTTTGAACTATCGATATTATGTTGACATTTTAAAAAACATCTAACTCTTGTAGACATAGGAGTTGGTTTTTCAACAATTTTTTTCTTCCTACAGTAGATTTATTTTTGTTTGTTAACAAATAAAATACTGGCACCACATAAGCTAAAACTTCAATTATTGACTGCCAGCTTCAAGTTGGTTAATACCTGGTCGTTATTATATAATATAGACAATATTGTATAGACAAACATATTAAATAGATAGGTAATTCAGCAATGTTATTATACTACAATAGATAAGTAGCTGCAATATTAATATTATATTTATAGATCAGAAATTTTTCAATGTGCACACAACCCATTTTGGAAAATTTTTAAATTTTGGCAACCCACTAATCACTTATTAACTAATCACCATTTCTTTTTTTCAGTGAAAAGGAATAAATGAACGATAATAGAAACATATAGTTACCTACTAGAATATAATTAATACTATATACTATAAACTATTGTATCATAATATGAGTATATCGTATATGACATAATATTATGTTCGACTCTTGTATTTATACATAAGGTATACATTTTCTTTGTTTGTATAGTATATTTATGTATATATTTATAGTAATCTAATATTAAATATTCTGCAATATAAAAAATATAATTGCAACCCATAGTTTGGGAACCTCTGCTATGGATTATGATGATACTAATTGTTTTTCATGGATTTAATATGTGGGTAGATAAGTAACAAAAATTGTGTTTAATATATTTCAACAAATATAAATAATTATTAATTAGTACCTAGCTATAATGGCATAATACTGAACAACATAGTGTGTACAAATATCTTATTCAGTATCAATTATGTTTTATAAAAATAAAATACCAGTATCATAACATCCCCCCATCCAAAAAAAAATCTGCATTACCAAATAAATAATCCAACTGGGAAAAAAGTTCAGAAAATTATTTGTTTATAAATCTAAGTACCATATTTTTATTTTTAACACTCCTACAGTTAAGATGTTTGGTGTACACATTATTTGAACACAAACATTTATTAAAAACGAAATATACATTATACAATTTTTTTTTTTTTGGTTTTATTTTTTGTTTGACAAAATGTTGATTTTATTCTAACATAATTAATATTTGTTTTTTCTTTTTTAGACTCTGATTGGTGGCACAGCCGACTAGGTCCACTGCGACAGACGCGTTCTTCAGATGGTTTCTGAAACATCAAAACAACGATTCAGAACGATGTGATACTAGCCATTAAGATGACTTAAACTTTGTAATAGAATGTATCTTCTGTTCAAGTCTTATTGTTATAGAGATTAGGATTAGGTACAAAAAAAAATATATATTATATAATTTAATGAAATTGACTTTTCAGTTTAAGTTATTTAAACCGTATGAATATACCTAGTCAGTATTCCTATAATATAATATAGTTCTCTGATAATGACTGGATTTAAACGTGAACGGTACTTTTTGTAACTATTTTATAGATAAAAATGTATAATTATGTTATTATATTATTTAATATTTACTATTAAGATAAAAATAAATGTCAAGAATTTAAAGTTTGTAAATAAAAACAATTATACAATTTATTAAAATGTTATATTTATGAGTATTCAATTTTAACAAATACTAATTATTTCATCTTCCATACCTAATTTTAACGATTTATGTGAAAGTACGCTTCGGTGGTGCTATGTAAGCTGGTGGAGGAGCAGGCGTTTCAAATTCACCAATTGTATCCATGTATGACTGGAAAGCTCTTAAAAATTTAAGCTCAAAAGGTATATTCTCTTCTGTCTTGGTAAGTTTAACACCTAGATCTTCCAACGTAGGCAACCTTTCATCAAGTATATCACTTACAAACTCCTATAACATATACATATTATTCATATCACCTTTGTAATCGATCAAAAATAAATTTATTCACAAGCATAATTTTACAAAACTATTTACTCTTTCAAAACGCTCAGAGGTAACATAACCTGGAGGCCAACTGGGACAGAGTTTGTCTGTCAACCACATTTTGATTAGATATTGAGGATTTTCCAGGATACCAGTACGTTTATAATCAAAGTTAAATTCATTAGTACGGCGTAAAACTGCAAACATCCAATCGATCAAATCGGATAACATATAAGGAGTTGGCCTAGACATTTTTGAATTTTTTTTAAGTCATTAAATAATATTGCAATTACTATTTATATACGTATTTATTATATTTATATTATTCAGGTAATCTCAATTGACATACCCCACAGCTTGATAGATTTTCCCTGCTGTTGAATGATCAAGCATAGCGTTCACAATGCCGTATGCCACATCAGATACTGCAACAGGTTGTTTAACTGTTTGTTCTCCTTTCTTCCATAAAACAATTTGCTGGCGACTACGACGCCATGCGTGACTGTACATCCTAAAAAAAATATTTTTCAAATTTTCTTTAAAGTATAATACAATAAATATTTATATCATACAATTAATAATAACTATCTATTTTAATATGTTAATATAATAATTTATTGACAAGAAAACCAGAAAACTTAAACATCTTTTTCTATTAGAAAAATCATTCAAATGTTGGTATTTCTGACTGAAATATAAAATAATTGAAAAAATACTATCTATAATCCTCAAACACATTGTTTATTACAATATATTTTATCTAAAATAAAAGTAAAAATTATATAAAAAAATAATGGGAAAAAAATTGTAATGATTCTAACTCCTACCATAAGAATAAATGGATTGAACAAGTAATTACTAATTATACCATTATCACTTATACTGCTATTTTATATCAAATTTTATTGAATATAATAATTGATTAGAAGACAAATCATAGACTATACTATATTCCAAAAGAGAATATACCAGACAACGACTGGTTTCCATTTGACAGTGCACATCTCCCACATAAAGGCATAGGTACTAGATAGTGAGTAGTGTAAAGAGAAAAAAGTATTTAGAACTGGTATATTCTCTTATAGGATAAACAATACATGGAGCATGAGTAGGATAGGTTTTAAATTGTCATTGAAGGCAAATGAGCTCTATTAAAATAACAAATCCAAGCATTTAGTTAACTTTAGGGCAGAGTTTGACATGGTTAAAAAATCATTTATATTTTAATTAATTTGGTTTGGATTTTTAAATTCTTAATTTTTGGTTTAAGTTTCAAGATCGGATTTTGATTTTGGTTAGATGTCTTGTGAATGGGTTTTTTTTGTTTGAAGGTTTTTATCTTAGATGTGGTAATGGTGCTGTTAACCTGTTGTAGAGGATAAATAGTTTTTAAAAAAATGCAATACATATTTATTAGTTAACATGGCTGAAAATAAAATTAAAGTGAAAAAATATAAAAATCTAAGAATTTAAAACAGAAATGAATAGCAGTGGTAAAATTACTTATCGGTTTATGAAAATAACATATTTAGATATAAAACAACCATTGACTTTTAGACACTAAGTGGAATATATTTATTTGGTGAAAAATAATATTTACTTAAAGAAAATAATTGTTATTACCAAATATGACTATTTTTTTACTGTTAAAATGTACGCGGAATTTAACATTATGGATATCACAATTACAAAATAGCTTAATATTAGTACTTTTATAAAGTGCAACTCACAGTTTTAAATAATTAAGGAATAAAACCAAAACATTTCATCATGACTGCAGATGTGTAGGTATTTCAATTAAATATTTTTATACGATTCCATATTACCTACTTAAGTTATTTTGAATACAAAAATAATTGAACCTCAAAAATTATTTTAAATGTCAGTATTAAAATAAAAGTTAAAAGTAAAAATTTAGTATTGAGTTAATGAGTAATGACTGATAATAGTATGAGGCACTTACAATAAAAATCTGTCCCCTTGACCATAAATGTCAGATGGACGGAAAATAGTAGCATCAGGGAACTCATCACGTACTGCTTGTTCGCCAACTTTTTTAGATGCTAAAAATCCTGATCCTTTTTTCAGATAGATAGGCTAAGACAATGAATAACAATTTATTACCATTTATAATACAACTAACTATAATATTATTATAATTATAAATATATTAATAGCTAAAAAAAACCATAGGGCAATGGAAATAATGATATTATATTTCTTTTATTTCTGTAAAATAAAGTATAATAATATAATACCTAGGTATAAATTATTAATAGAAAATAAACAGAAATTTAGTAGATGTATTTGTAAAAATGAAATAATAACTTACAGCTGGCAATGGATCAACGTTAAGTGCAGATACATGAATCAATCGTTTAACACCCATTTCACGACTTATGCGTGCAATGCGTTTTGCTCCTTCAACATGGACATCGTTGAATTTGAAATTTTTTGTTTCCCAATCACGTCCCACTAAATTAATGACAACATTCGAGTATTTTACCGCTTTCCTGATAGATTCTTCATCTTGCAAGTGATAAGGTTGAAATAAAACTTGACCCAGATCGCCAGCAAGTTTCAACTCCCTTATGAAGTAGGCATCTCCTCGGTATGGAATAATCAACTGTCCCCACATTGCATTTGAATAAATAACGACATCAATATCAATGGACTGAAAACAAAATTACCTGTGTCCCGATCTTGCCCAATTTGTTGATGAGATTACCACCTAAGAGTCCAGTCGCTCCAAAAACGGTGGCCACCACCCCATTGAAACTCGACCGACCACCAGTACCCCTCTTCAGTTGAGACAGCGACGGATTCTTGATGACATGGGGTTCAGAAGATTCGGTGCTATAGTGCGAAGACGAGCAGACAGCCAATGACAAACTCCGGTTCCCTGCAAAACCAAACTTTGTACACGCATTCCAATTTACCATGATTTTGTAGCAATACGTACTGAGAACCTTCACGTTGTTGCTGAACACGTGCACGGACATGTTTGCACGCGATTAGCACGGTTTAGAAGTACGGTCGAAGTCAGTAAAACATTCCTCGAGTAAGAAAATTTACTCAATTTCTCAGACTTAAGAGTACGTACTATGTAACACCTTTAGAAAATTATTCCAATAACGTGATAACTGATAACGAAATTGAATTTTTCTAACAGCTGTTGTTGGTAGGACAAAATAATTACTGATAACTGCAAAAGGAACTGCACCAGTGGTACTACCAATGGCACGCGAAAAACTAACAAATATCGTCATTCTAGCAACACTGAAGAGTACGTTGGGAACACTGTAGATTTTGTTTCCCTGTCGCCCGACGTCCGTCACGTCGTGTTTTCGATTCTTTCTGGTGAAATAAAACACGGTTTGTCGGCGCGTTCAGCTCGACTTCATTATTTTTTTCAGGTCTATTCTAACGAAATATGGTAAGTGTTTTTTGTTATTATTACATTATATATAGACAATCGGACATGCTTCTTCCTTGCTGATCTATGGTTCGCGTAGTTTGATCGCACATCAGCGATCGGCGCTTGCCAACATCGCTCCCTAAAACCATGTGGCTTTTACGTTTTTGACGTGTATTCAATTTGCAACGATATTCGTTTTTACGTCAATTATTTCATCACCAACTACTCGATTTTTCGTTCAACTTCGTTGTACGTGCATTGATTGCCACATTTATCGGCGTGATACTAATACTGCTTAATTGTGATGTATTTCGTTAGGGAACCGATGTATTTGGGTAAATGCTGGATGTTCGGCTAACCATGTTTCTAATTTATATTTTAGCCGCCCAAGAAGGACACAAAGGGCTCGTCCAAGCAGCCCCAGAAAACCCAAAAAAAGAAAGAAGGAGGATCCGGTGGCAAAGCCAAAAAGAAGGTCAGTTTTCCAATCAATGCTGATTGTAATCACGATTAAGGTTATGTTTTAAATGTTATTTAACTTTTTTGAGAGCAGAAGTGGTCCAAAGGTAAAGTTCGTGACAAGTTGAACAACCAAGTTCTATTCGACAAGGTATCATACGACAAACTGTTAAAAGAAGTTCCATCGTACAAACTCATTACCCCGTCTGTTGTCAGTGAACGTTTGAAGGTCCGTGGATCATTGGCAAGGAAAGCTTTAGATGAGCTATGCCAAAAAGGTGAGTGGAGATAACATTGAATCTGTAGTGAACATATTTGTCTGATTTATAAATATATTTATGCAGGTCTTATCAAGCAAGTAATACAACACCATGCCCAAGTAATCTACACGAGGGTAACTAAGGGAGACGAATAAGGATGTTTTTGTAAAATAATTATTTTATTAAATATATAAAAATAATACAACAAATTCTAGTTTTGGTTTATTTAAGATTATTAAGGTAATTTATTAGTTAAGGTTAAATTTTAAATTAGTATAAATATATAACACCTGTTCAACATAATGTCAATGTTTGAACACATTTAAATTTTTGGTTTTAAGTTTAATTAACTAGAACACTACTTATAAGCCTTCACTCATTCATTCAAAAATATTTTGCTCAGTGTATTCTTTAATAAAAAATTACACAATAATTATTTTTTGGGTAAATACATCGAGGCTGTGGTATTATGACAAAATTAAAATTTAAAAACAAGTATATTGCAGTATTATTTTAGAAACAATAGGGTAACATTCATCTACATTAATCAAATTCCACAATGTGTAAAAACTAATTTATGTAAAATTCCATAATATTCAAACATACAATTTTGTTTCAATTGTTTCTATAGCATTATAAGATGGGCGTAATTATTTTTAATTTTTATATTATAAAGTACATTGTATAATTCCGGTCAACTTAAAAATGTGTTAATTATTTTAATTTTATACTATGTATAATATACATATTTGACTTTAAATTAATGCCATAAATTTGAAGCCTTACTTACTTTACTTAGGACTTGAAAGAAAACTTAATACTCCTTATTCACATTTTACTGTATATCAGCAGAAGTATTTAGTCATTAATTATTAAATATTTTAACAATAACTTAATCAATAGATGACAATATTATATGTAATATTGTTATTTTTAACGATGTGTATTTTTTTTTTATAATATTTATTCAGAATTCTTCCATAATATCATATACTAGAATTACTAACATTAATATTTGTTTTTCAAGAGGATATCATAACCTAATGTTTTATATTTGTCTCATTAACAAGTACTAGCAAATTGTAGATACAAAGAAATATAATTTACTCTATTACTTTTAGTATTGTGTGAATTCACATATTTAAATTTTAAAGCAAGTACAAAAACCATTTATAATACAGGTTGTAGTGACATATTGGGTGTAATGACTTTAGATTAAAGGTCCTGCCAAAACTCTTATATTGTATGTACTGATTTGTTTGATTATTATGACGTTTATTTTTGGTAATATTGGAAAAATAGCAAAATTTGTAATTTGGATCTGAATAACATGAGTCCAAAGATAAATTTTAAAGAACTAGAAAAAAAATAGAACTTGATTTTTATTTAAACAATGAATTATTAATTAATTAAAATATGTATATAATTAAATGTTTTTATCTTTACTTTTTTTCTATATTATACATTGCATAAATAAATTATAATAATATTAATATGTATTAAAGTTACAATTTTTTTAATAGTCACTTTGGTTATAATGACAACCGGCCATTATGACCTATTTTCTTTGGTCCCTTGAACGTCATTATAAACGGTTTCTACTGGTTGTTTTTTTTAATAGATAGTACTTCATAAATATGGGTACAACAACGTCTTAAAATTATTGTAAATACATTTTGTACGTAGAAGACTAAGGACAGTGGCCTAAAGACCTACTTAAATAATAATTTAAAAAAAAAAACCCCCCATGATACTTAAAATGTACATGGCCGTGTGGTGCTGTTGAGTGCCTGCCCCCAAAAGGTTAAATTCTCCTGTCTCTTACCACCATTCAATATCAGATTTGCTGATTGCAGATAATGTTGTATGGATTATGGATTGTAAATTACTTAAAATAAAATAATTAAAACAATAAATTTATATTTTGCCGTTTAATCAGCTATTTAAGAATCACTAGTATCTATTTTGATCGCTATATTTCATGGTTGTTAAATTGACAAGGATCTGTAAATAGTGTATGTATCATTGGTATTTTGGTACATCATCTCATCTAATAAGTTATCAATTTGTAGCCATTACAATTTTTCTGACCCAAAACATGACAGACAAGATTCAATTTTTTCGTATTCGTTTTACTCATATTATAGTATTAGAAACCTGTGATACCAATCTATTTCGTCACCACTATAATAGAAGTGGATAATGTGATACTAATTCAATACATAATATTCATTATTTTTTAAATAACAGCAGTTTGTAAATGAGTTGTAGTTTTACATGACAAACAAATAATGTAATGGTTTCTACCTGCCATATTAAGATTTAAGATTTTCTTTTGTTTATTATATTATGTAATTCTTAGAATTACAAATACAAAACATTTTTACAATCTGGTACTCTCAAAATAAGTGATGGCTACTTTCAATAATTTATATGTAATTTGCTTCTTAACATAAATATATTTTATATAAAACAATATAAGCATTAGGTAAACCATCACAAATAAAAAATACTCAACAGTGTCATCTAACGATGTATGAAAAACAGGTTGGTCTGCACATCAAACCGGGCAGCAGTCAATTTGATTTTTATAATTGTGTATGACACGTTTCTTTTATATGACTTAAATAATTATTATTTAGCTAGATATGTATCCTCCCTGTGTATTTATTTAATCTTACAACTTAATTCTAAAATGTATAGACTATAAATTAACTTCAAATTATTCTACTGTGCTTGAAAAAAGAAAAATACCCAACACAGCTTGTAAATCAATCAAAAAAAAAAAAAAACATTTTAACTTTTAATTACACATAAATTAATTTATATTATATTTCATGAACGAAAAAAAAAATTCTAACATATTAACAACATAGAAAAAAGAAAAATATATATTAATTCAAAGATTTTTTTTTATAAATTGTGTGGACAATATTAGTATTTAAAGACTCCAGTGATCGGTATTGTATATACAGACAAGTTATTTTATTTAAAAAATATTACAGTAGAAAAACATGAAATATAGGCACACATGCATACTTATATTTTAGACTAATTAATATTATTAATTATTATATAAAAGGATAATAATAATATCAAAATTAAAGTTATGAGTTTTTTTCAATATTCCAAAGAATCATAACATAAACTTTATTTGTTACTTGAAATTATTTACAATACAATTTCTAGACTAAATATAGAAGAAATCTACAACAATTTTTTTTTGTTTTCATTTCATAAATGTATCGAGCAATTTTAAATTATGGAGATTGGATATATATATTTATATATATTAATTTAATTTACATTAAAAAGAAAAAAACCTAAAAATGTGTACAAAGGTGTTATCGATTTTATATCAATACATATTCCCATTACCGATGCCGACATTGTAGCTAAGTGGCGATGGAAACAACCCGACTGATGTATGACGGTAACTAGACCTATCTTGGTGCATAGCACCAATAGTATGTCTTTCAAAATGCTGCAACAATGGATTGGGATACTTGTCAATAGCATGATTAGCTCTGATTAATTGGTGCATGTTTTGTGGATTTTTAGCCCCTAAACATACAAAAGAAAAAATATTAGTAAACAAATACGGGTGTTAAAAGTTGACTGACAAACAACAAATATTAAATAATAAAAAAAAAAAAACCTTTATACCGAAATGCAAAAAACTATGAAGCAATTGAAAATAAGGTTCAAGGGTGTGGGGAGTACAATAAGATATGAGTTGACAGTACTTGAAGACATGATGTTCAATATTTTTTAAAGTAAAAAGCTAGTTAAAAGAATAGTCACCAAATACTTGTAGCAAAAAGTAAAAAGTGCAACTACAAATTTATGAGATATAAGCTTATGTTTTAAACTAAAAATACAAATAATTTAAATGATTTGTATTCATTGAGTAAAATGTAACTTCAGTGACCATTTATATGAAACAAAAACATAATAAATAATACAATTCAGATAACAATATTTTTAATAATATTTTGGAAAAAATGATTGTGCAAATAAAGCAATAGAAAAAAACACGATAAATTTGTTTCTTTAAATATTAAATTTGAAAAACAAGTTAATTTAATTGAAATACAATTTTAAGCAGTAATTTTACTTTTGGATTTTTGAAAAGAGTTCAATTAAGTAAGTAATGAAAACTTGTATGAGATTATTTTGTGCCTCAACCCTGTACTACCAAAAAACAACTGCTCAAAAACTACCACCTCTTTTATTACCCAAAATATTGAATGTACATAAAAATACTCGACTAAATAAAGAATGTACAAATTACATCATTATTTTCTTATTTTCCAATTATTAGATTTGTTTTATAATATTGTAATCAATTAAGCAAATGTTGGCAAATTCAATGCTTTTCAATTTTAAAGACAACAGCCACAATTTACCTAATTTTATTAGTTAGATACCTATATCACCTTTTTATACCTTTTTATCATTTTTTTTTTTTTAAATTGCCTTATTTTCCTAGATTCTTCAAATATATCCTCTCCATAATACTCAATTCATTAACAATATGATTGGGTACTTTTTCACAGCTTTATAAAAAATGAACTCGAATTTTTCATCTCACTTGCATTCTTTAAACTGTATGATTCCAGACTACTTATTATGATAAAAAACCGTAGTTCATATAACATTGAAATGCAGAGTATAAGAGGATGGAAAAGTATTTCTAACTATTTTTAATTTAACATTTTTTTATTTTGAATAACAATTTGTTTAAAAGTTGAACTTTTATACCAACACCCATTACATTTTAAGTATTACGTATTATGCATTACGTATTTATGTTTTGCTCTTTTAAAATATATTTAGACAAGTATTTTAAAAAAATTTGAGATTCAACTCCTTAACTAAAATATAACACACAAAATAACAGTCGTCAGAAGTGTTATATGTGATAACTATCTAGAAATAACTACATTTTTTACAAAAAATATTAAATATCCACTTTTTAATAATTTGTATTTTGATAATATTAAAAATATTTATCATGAAACATTGATAAAATATTGAAAAGGTAAACAGTTATTGAAGTTTGGCACATATAATACGTAAATAATTAAAAACCTAACAACTAGAAATAAAATTTAAATAATTTAGCTATAAAAATAATATAAATACTAAATATACTTAAATAAAAAAGTTTAACCGATTGTCAAGAAATATCTCAAAAAAGCTTAATATAAAAAATAATATATGAAATGCTTAATATTTTTTTATATATTATATTATATTGTACTATAATTTTTAACAGTTGATTAATCACATACAACACTGTAATATGCATGATATAAATATTAAATAGATGATAGAAAACAAATGTACATATTAGGTAAGATTATCAATTTTATTTAATCCAAATCGTTAAATTAAATATCAGAGAAACAGAATACTTACAGTTACAATAAGAACTTTTGCTAATCAATATAATATATAATAATAAAATAACAAAAATATATATGCAAAAATTTAAAATAAGTATAACTTAAAAACTCTTCTTAATGATATTAAGTTACATAATAGTTCATTAGTAATAATTTATATTGTATATACTCTTGTTCAATACAAAATTTGCTCGTTAGATATTAAAGTAGTGTTTTAAATTATTCATGAATATTTTTACAGCATTTACATGCAATAAATACTTGTCAACTATTATTTGTATTTAATAGATTTAACAAAACTATAAGCTTGTCACAGAATAGACTAAATAACTGATAGTTATCCAAATATAAATAATTACCATACATTTTAATGTATCATAATAGGCCTATGTTTAGATACAATTGATGATACTTACAGAAAACCGATGAGCCAGAATTCAAGGTATTACATTTTGTTTCTGATCTATGACATGTAACTTCGAAGACATTGAAACAGATTATTGATTGGGGGGAATTTTTAGGTTTTTTTCTTTTTTGTTTTGTTATCTAGTAGCTTAAGTATGTGAGGGTGTCATTTGTACCTCTGTGCGCTAAACCAGTTTGCAGACCGGCCAAATAAGCTGCTTTCTGTTTGCCATGTTCCTCTGCTATTTTAACTGATAGATGCTCTGTGCATCCCTCCAACAAAACACCATTTAGTTGAATAATTGCTTTTTGGGCATCTTCTTTTTTGTTATAGCTATTATATGAAAGAAAAAATATATATAATGTACATGTAATAATATCCACTTGATATAAAATAAATTTACATAAGCCAGTTGTAAATATTGAGCAAATTAAGGAATAAATTGATTTTTAATGTTAATTTCTGTGATTAGTTTTTTTTTTATTCAAAAGGAATTTTTTTAATTATCAGTGGAATATTAAGAACCAAGTCATATTTTAATGTTCTATGAAGTATTAAGTTCTTTTGATAAAAGTAAATACAACAATATTCTATGCCGATAGGACAAAGCGAGATGAGTACACTCTGAAACTAGGATTCTTTATATTATTTGCTAGTTACTTTTTTTTTTGTTTAAGTTAATACTTATATAATACATATTATAAACTAAGTAATGCAGTATCTTACCGAACAAAAGCTACTCCTCTGGGAAGTCCACTGTATTTGTCTTTAAGGATATTTTTTTGAACAATTTGACCATAAGGAGCAAATAAATCTTCAAGTTCTCTTTCTGTTATTGATCTAAAATTATTTTCAAAATATGTATAAATTAACTAGGTATAAAAATTAACGTAAGAACATTATTTTCTTTTTACCTTGGTAAATTTTGAACATAAAGGTTTGTATCTTTGATGTCTTCTCCAGCAGGTCGAGCATAAGATACTTTTAAACGTTTATTCTCAACTTGGAGACCATTCATCACTTCAATAGCTCTAGAAGCATCTTCAGGGCGAACAAAGTTGACAAAACCAAAACCAAAACTATAGCCAGTCTAAAAAATATAATACTAATTTAATAGGAGTATAGATAATAGACTTTATTATTTAATTAAACACTTAAATTGTAGTCAGCAAATGAGTGTTTTATTGTAATAATATACCTAGGTACCTTTCTAACAGTTCTAAAATATTTCTAGTTTTTAAATTGTTTTTCTTTGAAAGGTACCTACTAATATAAGTATTAACATAATCTATCAAATAATAATTAGAAATCTATTTGTACCTATGTTAAATCAAAGTGGCAATTAATTAGCTGTAAAATAGTTCAAACAGTAACAATTAAAATATATAGTATAATTTTTTTAATAATTTTGATCTTAAGTACATAAATAGATAAGTAAATATTAGGTATAATTAATAATAGGTGCCTTCTATCAATTTAATATAAATCATTATGAAATTGGCATGGATATTACCAAGATATTACTATATTAGGTATTATAACTGTCAAATTGTATTAGCATTATCTCTGAACGATAATGTAATCAATATGAATCTATTCCATAGTCCATGCTCTATAATTTATATGCAGGTAATAGGAATGTATTTTAAAGACTAATGTTTTTCATTTAAATTATTTACGGGACTTAGATATCTACAGGGCTCAACTCATGAAAATAAGGTAAAATTGAATAATAATATTTAATCCTTTCCTAAGAAACCTATAATTTATAAATCAATAAGTATTTAATACATATATTTACTTTTGACGTGAACTAAAATAATATCGATTTATTTTAAGCTGATAATAAAAATAATTTTCAACAAAAATATTATATCAATATTTATGTTAAAATACCTACATAATTAAATTCATCAACTAGGAAGTACCATAAAGTTTAAAACAATAATTCCACATTATTGTAAATGATTTCTAGAACAAGGAACAATTACAGTTTAACTATTTTTGGAAATTGTAATTTTCAAAATGCTTAAGTTTTTGATGATACTTTCAAAAAATCTTCAAAATTCTCAATTTTCCAAAAACTTATGTTTTTTAGTTTAAAAATAACAAAAATTTAAACTTTTGGAAATGATACTATTTATATGCTCTACATTTTGGTTGAATTAGAATTTACTTATCATACTTACTTGATATGTTATTGTTAATAAACCATGTAAAACTTAATTATCAAGTTATTCCAAATATTTGTATATTATATTTAAGTAGGTACCTAACTCAAAATTTATTTTTTGAAATTATGGGGTCAAGGGACTGGGGACATGGTGAAATTAATTAGGTAATTTAAAATTCATCAATTACCTACCTATGAGTTACTTAAATACGCAAATGTTTGAAATAACTTTATAATCAAGTGTTACGTGGTTAATTCACAATTTTATTAAAATGGACATAAATATTTCACAAAAATGTTGAGCATCATATTAATATTAACATTTCCAAAAATATAAATTTTTCAAATTTCAAATTATAACTCAAAAACAAAATTTTTTTAAAAAAATAAGCATTTGAAGTTTTTTGACCGTAACTTCTAAATGAAGTTTGAGTGACTATTTATGAAAATACCATCAAATTATTAATCACGAAAAACCGAGGAAAAACACATATCTTAAAAAAAAATTCCAAAAAATTGTTTGGGAGCTAAACTGCATTTATGTTCTATAACAATATAAAGCAAAATAAATTTAAAACATTAAAATAGAAGTCAAGTCTGTTAAAAGGCAAAACCTAGGGTACCTACCTACTTATATCAGATAAATACATTAAGGTTTATCTATTCAGTTCTTAAACGAAGAAAATATCAAATTGTCAATGTTGAGTTGGAATAAATGTGTTAAAGTTCATAATGCCGATAGGTACGCAACTTAATATCTTACTTAATCAATAAATGTTGAACAAATGGGATTCTGAAGAAATACCTATGACCACCCATGAAATAAAATAATACACCTATCTAGATCATTTTATAACTACCTATCGGTTTAATGTTCTGCGCGTAAGTCTAGGTACTAGTTTAAACGTTGTAGCCAAATTGCGGGCTCAACTTTCGGTAAAACCTGAGGACCACAACACTATGATGGTAGAAACTCACTTTGACGTCTTTCATCACCCGGCACGCTTCGATCTGTCCGATCTGGGTGAACATTTGGTGTAGTTTTTTATCGGTCATCGACTGTGGCAGATAGTTGATTATCAGGTTCGTCATGCTCGTGTCTTGTGGCTCCATTTCGACGTTCGTTGTGTGCACTGCTGTCGTCGTTATTGGTGCTGATGCCGTTGCTGAGCTCGGCACGGCGTTAATCGTGTACGGCGTACGGAGGAGGAGGCGGCGGTGGCGACGGCTACTGGTGGTACTGTTATTGTCGCTGTTGTTGTTGTTGTTATTGTTGTTGTTGTAGGTATTGTTGTTGATACAACCAGTGCTACTGCCGCTGCTGCTGCTGCTTCTACTGCTGCTATTACTATGGTCCTGCTTCACAGGTGGCGGCGACGACAACGACGACGACAACAGACCTTTATCGGGGATGATGAGGGTGACGGCGTTGGTTGTCGTGCGCGCGACGAAACGGTTTTGTTTTCGAGGGGCAATGGTTGGAGATTCGCGCGGCGGCGGCGGACACAACGGATTATGACGGTAGGAAGTGCATGAGGGGGGAATAGTGTGTGGAAAAAAGTGGAAAAAAAAATAACAAGAAACGCACACGGGAAAACTGCCGATAGATTAACAACACTCGATACTCATATGTAGTGAGCTAAGAGCTTGGCAGCTTGGCTACACGAACCGGGTGGTGATGACGGGGAGTGCGGGTCCGACGGGTTGGGAAGGCGGAGGCGGGGCGCGGATCGATAGAGCTACGCTAGCGCAGTGGTGCCAACGGCGCGACCAGCAGCCACTACAACCAAATACTATAAAGATACACACGGACGGCGAACCGCCGAACGGTGGCATGGGGGCCACGGGGCACTACCGTCACCGTGGAACAATAGCACTACCGACTGGCGACTTCCGTCCTGTCTTCGGAGTCTTCCTGATCTAGTGATCTATGATCTATCTGACTACAACTGTACTGTGCCACTGGGCACTGACTGACCATCAGTGACCACTTCAACTTGGCAACTTCCAATAATATTGTCCTTCTAGAGCTGTTCGCCACCCGCGAGTCGTGTCCGTAAAAAAAGATAAAACGAATCACGGTTGTCGACGGCCAAGTCGGCTGACCGGTCCGAATGGCGCCTACTGCTAGTGCCGGGCTGCGGTGAAAGCCAAGCAGTGATTCACTGGGCAGAGGACCCTGCTTCAGTGATTCGGTAGTGACAGGATGGTACCGCGGAACTTGACGAACTATTTCATATTTTATCATACCACCGTAGACAGAGGAACAGAACATTCATGACGATTCCGAGTGCCGACTATCGGTCGGCCAATGGCTACGTCTGAATATTCACTGTCCGGTGTATAGTCATCAGCTTTCGGTGGTCACATATTCTTGGATGAATTAAAGTTTAATTTATGACCGACGGCACTGGCCATTAGTATGATATAGGTGGTTGTTGCACATTGGTCGTTAATGCGTTGCCACAGCCAAAGTGACGTTTTTACGATTGTTTTTTTTTAATAAAATAGTTGTATTATAACCTAGGGCTTAACGTGCCATAAAATTGTTGTTCTAAAACTTGTATAGACGCTTTACATTTGTATTTACTATTTATCACACGACTAAATATTTTAATTTATAGATAAAAATAGAAATTTTAATGTGGAACACCATTATCGGGGCTAATCGCAATAATGGCAGTGCTAACTATTATTTTGATGCTCTCCCGGTCCCTTGACGGCCAAATGTAATGTTAACATATTACAAACATTTTTCATGAATACTCCAGAACAAACTAAGAGTATTGTATGTTTATTTAAAACATTTAAATACCTTAATTTTTTTTATTTTTCTGGGCACATTATGCCTGATTACTGATTATTATAGCTGTTACGCTTGAATAGTTTTTTAAAAATAAAAAATGACTACCTAATACCTATCGTATCACAAAACCATCTAAGCAGCAGGACAGGTGCCTAATAATAGTTGTATACTCGTATTGTACCATTGTAACTATAACCCATTGAGTAAATAATATAACCAAGTAACTGCTATCTTCATCTTTCACAACGTTTATCATGCATAGCATAGATATGAAAATGAAGTGTTGTTTATTTGTTTCTATAGACCATAGAGTATGCTATAGACACATACAAACTAAAACATCGGGGAGGGGGGGGCATACAGCAGATTCCAGTGTCTTTCGAGTTTCGACACTTGAACACTAGACAGTGGTCGCTCCAACCACAGAACAATAAGTATAACCTAACCCATCCCCGGCGTGGCGGCTCTTGAAAGTGTGTTAGATACACAATGATGTATTTGTTGATATTGTTGTGGTATCAGGTGGTTCTGTATTACCCTTCGACTCTGCTCCTTATGCGGCGTTGGTCCACTACGGAAATGTAAAATCATGTTAAAATACAAATTTAATTAATTGCCTTTCACCTGACCCACCTTTTTTCAAATTTAAGATTCATAACATTGTCTAGTTGGTAAAAGGTATTTTCGTGGGTGTTGACTGCGATAGCTAAGTTGTCAAATATATAACTCAATAACAATTAACATTAAAACTTCAAATTTGTACACATTTTTAATTATTACTAATAATATAATATACATGAAGAAAATACACAATTTATTCTAAATTAAGGATATTTTAATACAATTATTTTTTACCATTCACAAGATAATTTATTTGATGCTTAAAATGAAAATACTTGAGATTAATTATCATTACATTTTATTACTATATATATCTTTTATTAAATTGTAATACTAAAACTAAAATAATTTATCCATACAAATTCGAAATACCTAGTTATTGCACAATAATAATTATATTATGTAAACATACATAACATTGTTGTATACTTACACAAAAATATTTGATGCAAAATAATGTTTTTTCTTAGTGTAAATACAAAAATAAGTAATACCTATACAATGATAATGTAGTGTTTACAGAGTTGTATAATAATATATTAATGTTTATACTTGTAATAGCATCTTGTATGCTGAGACATTTTAATATATTAAATAAAAAATAATAATAATAATATATTCATAGGTAATCTTAACAATAATTAGTTTATTATCTAACAAAAAAAAAAATTCAAGTGCAATATATTATTATTTAAAAATTAAATCGAGAAATTAAAATGTGTAATGAACTGTCGATAATGTTGATGATGGTGGTATCCAAGGTTTATAAACTGCATTTGGATTTTTTTTTTTTTTCTCTAAAGATATATAATTTTATAAAACATAAATATAATTTAAATTAAACATAATATCATAGTGTTACCTTACACCATCTAAGTACATAAAATCATTGTTATTACACAAGTCAAGAAAACATACCAACATGATGCATGTGTTATTGTTGTCTTACTAAAACACACCACCAAAATATAACTTCGGTAGTTCCAATTTTGTGTTCTTAGCTTTCATCATCAAACTTAAAAGAAAGAACATTTTCTGTATTGTCTTGTTGGGTTTTTATATTTTAATGTTTAAACAAGTTATGAGTAGGTATTCAATATATTATAATGTAAAATTCTCATTTCGCTCACTAATTGGTCAATTCACTCTAATAGGTAATAAGAACATAAAATTGGAACTGCTGAACTCAGATTTTTGTGTTGTCTATTTATAACATAGATACAACATAAGGTTAAGGTTGGAGTGAGTAACTCTTAATTAAATATTTATGTAATTTTGATTTATTACCAGCAAATTTAGAAACATAAGTTTTTTTTTGAACATTTAGGTGTTTTTCAACTGCAGTAGTATTTTCCAAATATACAAATGGATTTTCAGTTTTTAATTCATTACCATCAGTAGAAGTTAATGATATTGAATTATTTTGATGGTTACAATTTAGTTTGTGTTCATTAAAAATATCTGCAATCATAATTTTAATTTAATCATATATTGATGAAGACAAATAATATTTTTTTTAAAAGTGAACAAGTGGGTAGCAATCTGCTTCACATTAGGTGTTACGACTGTCACTGAAATGCATGTGTTTTTGTGAATTTATATTTAATAATAAATTATTGGATGTGAAAAACGAATCATTAAATGATAATGATTTATTTATGTTGCTATTTAAGTAAATTTATTTAATAATAATAATACAACCGATGAAATTGTTTTTGTGAAAACATTGCATTCAAATATCAATATGTATAAAACTATAAAATATAATAATATATTTTGTACTTTAAAAGTTTCAAGCACCTCCAAGAGATGATGACAGACAAAAGAACATTTTTTGTAAAAAACATCTTTGTAAAATCACTGCTCTCAGAATCTAGATCTTGCCAATAAATATACTTGGTAAAAGTATAATGAATAGTAATAAAGTAGGTATCAATAGTATTATAACATAATATAATACTATATTTTTAATACATTTATATTCAACAATTTAAGCAAAGTAAATCTAGTATGCGTGACTAATATACTTACTTAAAGGAATAACATTTTGAAGAGAAATGCCATCAATAAATGAATCAGCATGACAATCAAACCAATTTTGACGTCTAAATTCAATAATTTCATTCAACCACTTTTCGTCAACATCTGTCAATTGTGGTGTTGTAAACCTCTTTGAACATATTAATTTTGGAAAGGATTCAGTTTTTGTTTGTTTCATATGATTACAATAACATTCACTAATTTTAGGACTTAATACTACGGTTGGCGCTAATTTAATATATTCACAATTTTTTAATTTTTTTTCAGAAACATTGTTTTTTATTTGTTTTTTATCAATCCAGGGTTTTGATGAAAAATGTTCAATCTGTGTATCATTATTGATTTTTTTTTTACACACAGAGCACCCCAGACGACTTTTTCTTGTGTTTAAGTCGGATGCTATAGAATATCCTTGGACTCCCATAACTCTAGTTTAATATATTATGTCAGCTGCAACAAATCTAAAACATATTTTTTTAAATTGGATATGTAAATTATTTAAATCCTAATTCTAAATAATTTCTTTCACTTTTTAAATATTGTGAAGAAATAAAAATAAATATAAACTATAGTTAAATTAACAATTTTTATGTTTTAAAAAAAATATATATTTATATGAAATTTGACGGTTAATATTAAATTGTTCTAAAATATTATTATTATTAAATTAAAATGTACCAATTTTTTTTTTACATTTTACTTAGCTATTTGACAACAAATGATTTAATTATTTTAAATCAAGCATAATTATTGTTGTTTTTTGTTTTATAATTTGGATAATGTTTAAAGTCATAATATCATCCCGTCCAGATCCTATTACAGCTAGCAAAAACCTACAAAACCATCTTTCATGAATGGAAGATTGGTATAAAAAGTGGCATTTTAAAATACACCAAGCCAAATCAGTACATACTACATTTACACTTAAATTAGCACCATGCCCAGAAGTATCACTTTTTGGTACTCAGATCCCCTCATTCCCGAACGTTAAATATCTCGGGCTAACTCTTGTTCACCGTCTTACCTGGGCTCGCTATATCAAAGCCAAAACATCACAATTAAACTCCCGCTTACAAATGCTCAAAACTCTAATCGTCAACAACAAACACTCAAAACTAAATACTAAACTACTTCTTTACAAATCTCTCCTAAAGTCAATTTAGACATACGGCTTACAGCTATGGGGAAATGCAAAAATGTCTAATCTAAATAAAATTCAACGGTTCCAAAATAAAAAACTAAGAAAAATTACCAATTCTCCACCATATTATGTATCAAATCACTCCCTGCATAAAGACCTACACATGAAAACAATTCAGGAAGAGACAGACATTTATAACAAACGATTCCACCTACACCTTAACTCTCATTCAAACGAACTTATAAAAAATCTAGCTTTATTAACAATCCCTGGTAACCCTCCTCATTTTCTTAAGTGAAAATAGTACAGAGACCTACTTAATCCCTAACAAAAAAATAATAATAAGTACACTAAATAAGTACAGTAATTTGTCGCTTAACTAAATTTTATCATAAAACAATAGAATTGTTAGTTTTTAAGCAGTAAATCTAGATTTATGCTTAACTTTACCTAAGATGATATATATATATATATATGATTTTATAATGAATCAAATTTTTCATCAAGCATATTATCTAATTTTTGATGTCTAGCCATATTTGATAAGACTGCATCTAAACTAGTAGTTTTCTTCTTAGCACTTCCTTTTAATTCTTTTTTACCATCCATACGGTTTAAGTTCATATGTGATATATCTTCTTCAAAATCAAAATCGGATTGATCCAATGATCTATAGTAAAATGTATTTTATAATATCTTAAATAAATTAGTTAAAATATTTAAAAGCATCATACTCTGCAATATCGCAAAGTTCATTAGTACTACTCTGAGATACTTGACTATCATCAGGTGTTAATTCTCTTCGTCCTGGACAAGTCCATTCTAGTTTTAAAGATGTAACATTAGCTGATTCTAATGTTTTGTACAATGAATAAATTTCAGATGGTTCAGGATAACATTCATTCATCTGCAAATTAAAAATGTATTTAAATAGTTATACAATTTAACAATACCTGCAATACAAAAAATGTAAAAATAATTTAAAATGTTGGATAAATATTTAAATTATTATATAACTTTAAGGTATTTACCACATCTGGCTGTTTTAAAATTTGTTGCCATAGGTTACGGTTATCAATGATATTGTTGATAATACACTAATTATGTTCAATATTTTATAATTTTACAATAACCATACAATTAAAGTATAACAATTCTTCAATTTGATTGTTTTGTTTGAAATAAAATTATATTAACTTATGTATCAAATACAGAAACTCGAAAATAAGAGTTTTAAGGATTTTTATTTTCCTGTTTATTTAATTAGTTTATTTGATGATATTTATTTTGTTTGATTTTAAAATGTATTAAAGTCAGCACAATACTTATTATTTATTACAGTTTACATACAAAATGAAATAATTAAATAAATATTAATTGCTTAGTTAAAATTAAACTACCCACAACCTGGCCTATGCTATAAATATTTATTTTATTTTATAAAAAGTAATTATATTTTGTTATATAAATACCTGGTTTTGTTTAAACCCATAATTTTCATCATCAGAGCATTCTATTATATCTGGGGTCATAAAATGTTCAGACATTATTTTTAATTTTTATTAATACGGAGGGTTTAAAAAAAATTTAAAAATATTTAACTGTAAACTTTTGACTCCTCCACAGACTTATAGATTAAACGGTAGAAGCATATAAGATAACTACTACTATAATTATTTGTCATTTTAGTCAAACTGAGCGCCTATTTTAGACATATTTTTGAGTCGATTTGTGTAATTCATAAGTCATATAAATTATAAACACTAGACAGTAGACGGGAATAATACCACGGAATAATTCAAAACTGAATCAAACTATCAACTTACTATCAGAGTATGGGAACTGGGAAGTTTGGAACTCTGATAGTCTGATTATTCCACAGATATATAAACATACATATAACATGTTTATATATCTGTGGATTATTCCAAGACCGTGGTCTGATAAGTTATTACATTGGCTCTGATTGGACCTCACTGATTTTTGCCAAAATGCAATCAGTGTCATCCCAAAGTACAATAAAAAAACTAATGTACCGAGTTATTATGTTGGCGGTTGATTTGAATTTCGGTAATAATCGATATTTTACTTTGAAGTTTGAGAGGAACTTGGACTTAGGCTCCCTGATTATTATTAATAATCAAGTAATTTTGAATGTCTTATACTCTTATAGTCTTTTGGTATTGGTGTAGAACTGTAGACACTGTATACAATTTTGAATTATCGTAATGATATAAACTAATAACTAATAAGTATAAATAGTATATTATATTTATCCCTATCAAAAAACCGTTGAAGACATCTAAAAAAACAGTTATTCATAGCACATTGATAATTAACTTTATTGTTACCTGTTTTAGGGAAAATAATCAAAAAAATATTATTCAAAGACACTATCTCGAATACCTACTATTATTATATAATTTGACTATTTGAGCCTATTCAGAAGTATGCACATTTAAATTTTTAAAATATATATGTATAGTATATAGATTAATTAAATTATAAGCTACCATTTATATTACGAACCTATATTCATGCCGATCTACGGTACAATCATAGGCACAAATAGATGGGGACCTCCCTACAATTTCAATAGTTATAACAATATATTGACTTATTACTTGTATAGTTGTATGTTATAAGATCTCTCATCACAATTCTAAATCTTAGCAGGAGTACCTCAAGGAAGTGATTTATCACCAGACTTCTACAAAATTTACACAGCTGACATTCCCTACTCCGAAAACACACTGATAGCCACTTACGCCGACGACACAGCAATCCTCTCATCCCATTCCGATTCCACAACAGCATACCAAAACCTCCAAATTCATCTTGATAATATTTCAAAATGGTCCACCAAATGGAGAATAAAAATCAATATAGACAAATCCTTTCACATTCCTTTTACTTTAAGAAAAGCTGTTCTTCCTACAATCTATTTTCAAAACAATCCAATCCAAACCACAACTCAAACCAAATACTTATGTCTAATTTTAGACAAGCGTCTAACTTGGGCACCTATCACACCTCAAAATTAAAAAAAAGACTCTTAACACCAGACTTTACCTTTTACGGCCAATCCTCAAGTCCAAATTCTCTATTGACAATAAATTACTAATATACAAATCAATGCTAAAACCCATCTGGGCCTACGGCATCCAAATTTGGGGATGTGCCAAGCCTTCCCAAATACGGACTATACAAGCCTTCCAGTCTATTTCCCTTCACCTTATAACATCTGCGCCATGGTAAGTCCCAAACCTCTCACTATAATTTATCTAGTCACTACATAAGGATCTTAAAATTGAAACAGTCTCTATAACAGCCAAAAACTACTCAAAAATGTATACACCAAAACAGCGAACCACACAAATCCATTGATTTCCAACTTGGCCAGTGACTTCATGCCTAATAACCCCCCACGTCGACTAAAAAGACAAAGGTGTTGTGATCTCCTGAACCCCGACTACACTAATATTAAGAAAAAAATAAAACTCTCTCCCCCAAGCTAGAGGGTATCCACACTGGTGGGCCTCCCTCCTCACGCCATTCACGTTGTTTTTTATTATTATCAAATTTACTTATTGTATGTATATAAATTACAGATTGTAAATATTCTATTTTATCTAATAAAAAAAAAGTTACAAGGTAGGTACCTATTATCTAATAACAGTTAGCACCTATACATAATAATTAATAAGTAATAACTAATAACCAGGGCTTGGACAACATTTGCTTATTTTTATATGATTTGGCACAAAATCTAGTAGAGTGCTATGGAAGTGTAGGTACCTATGTGATGTTACATTAACTACAACACATTAATTATGATACCTATTTGAATAAGTGCTTTTTTCAACGATTTAAAAAAATATATATGCTCATTTTCAGCTTTTTTAATTATTTTTTCTTCTATGCATATCTCTACTTTATTATGATTTATGACGACACGTGCCACTGACAAAAACATTATCATTTTAGTTAATTTCTGGTGTTTTTTTGTTTTTGTTCACGATAGGTATAACTAGAACTAAAAATAATTGTTCTCTCTAATAATTGTGTATCATATATCCTAGTAATATTGTAAAAGCCCCAGGACTCGTATGTACTCGAAAAGTTATTGAATTGAGTAGGGAGGTATATCAAGAAAACTAAATCGATTCTTTCAAAACTAATATTGTGATTACAAAACCCATTTTTCCATAATTTTTTTTTCCCGGCGTATAAAAATATTATTGTGAATTTTCAATTTTGACCTCTAAAAAGTACCTATTATATTCATTTTCCCATCAGAATAAATGCTTAAGATAAAAATCGAAATATTTTTATCTACTAAAAAAAATGTTTAGACAGAAATAAATAATAATACATTATTGTAAGTTGAAACGTCATCGCTCCGCTCAGAAACTAAAACCACTAAACCAGATTAGACTGCAGTCTATAGATTATGGGTACTACTTGATAATTTTTTTTTGAATTTTTTTAGTTAAGAAAAAAATTTTAAAAATTAATTCTTTTAAAAAATTTAGTTATTTAAAGCAAGGATAACATTTTTTAGCTATACCTTACATTATATTGTTGTTGCCTATTTAAGAATATTTTTGGTGCGTACTAATACTTATTGGCTATTACTTATAATATTTAAGATTACTTTAATGGCAATATGTAATTATATGTCTATATAATAGTATTATACAAATATACAAATTACTCAGGTATAGTAGTATTCAGTGCCTCAGTCCCTCAGTGGCATAATTATAGTTTTTGAGAGGGGAAGGAGCAATTTTAACCTAACCATAATAAAACGGAAAAAACAGATGGCTAACTTGTTCATGACAATTACATTTTTATCTCAATACAAATACTATCCTTCTCATATGCGGAGATCAGGGGGGGCTTAGCCCCCCCCCCCCAAAAAATGAATTTAAAGTTAAAGCCCCCCTAAAAATATTAAACAAACAATACCGTAATTTTGTACTGATTGCAGAATTGTTTTCATTATTTTATATTCCTATATCCACAATTATACAGTGTGTTCACGCTAAGAGGTACCACTAAATATCTCAGCTGGATGACTTCGAATTGAAATGGGGTTTTCAAGAGGTGATAGAGATATAAGTGTGCCTAGTACATTAAATACATACTATTTACCAATTTATTTATTTACAGTAACATACCGAACAATTAAGTCACAATTCACCTTAATATTATATTGTGTTTATATACCTAATATTGTACATATTTTGTAGTAATAGGCCATCAATATTGAATAACATATTATACTGTTCTATTTATAGATGGGAAAAATATTATTTATTTTCTAATTGTTGTTAATTCTCGAGAAGCGATAGCTATAATTATAGGACTATCGCTATAGCTGTATTAAACCTTTCGTAAAGTTTATCGTGATTGAAAGAATCGTGTTCGTACATTGTAATGGGTATTGTACTATTGTACATTCGTATTCGTACCGTTACTGTGAACGTATTGAACTATTGACCATATTTTTATACTAAATTATATTTTACTTATTGTTTGATGTTCTTAGGAATACGTTT